ATAGGTCACTTATTTTTTCTGTAAACATACATGTTTACAGAAAAAATAAGTGACCTATTAACTAGTCCACCTCACCTCACACACCATCATTTATCTCCCTCCTATAACTCTTCGATTGCTTCGCAATCTTCGAGTTAAAAAGCACAAAGCCAAGAGTGTCTCTTGTCTAGCCCGGTTTCCATCTCTCTTTATTTATACCTCCAATCAATTTCCTTGGACATAGGTCTTACCTACAGATCTGTGCTATAAGTCTTGCTCCAAAGTCTCTCAAGGCCCAATGGTTATCAACTTCTGGTTTGGAGCAAAGTTTTTTACTGACAACACAAGTCACCACAGCTGGGATTAACTCATGCAACTACAGTAAGAACAAGATAAAAATCATTATATATTATTAAGGGTTTGTTTATTACAAGATTTCAWGTCAAACGGACAAGAGCTAGCTCTAATAATCATTACTTTGTATACTGTTCAACTGAGCTACTCTGAACTGCTACATTCAATGCTCATCTGTTAGTCTGTCCGTAACTGAACCAAATCTTACACTTTTAATCACTTATTATTAAACTAAATCAGTTCTTGGGAACATAATATTGAAATAGAATCACTGTTTAAAGGTGGCTTTAGCCCTATAACTAATTAAGTGACTTACATATTTCTCTAGATAAAGTGTTGAGTTGTCCAAAAGTGCTTTCACCATTCTCATCAGGTAGATCAGTAAAACAAGATTATTCTGAGCAACATTGACTCTCACCTGGAATCATAATACAATATATTTTGTGATAAATATGTAATCAATATTTTAAGTGTCTTGCATCAAGGAATTATATAGATATCTACCCCTTCTGATATAAAGGTGCAAAATCTTGGTAGCATTTGGTACAAGCCTGGGTCTGTAGCTAARCTCTGCAAAGCTTCCTGGAGAATACAAGAAATTAAATGTTACTGGTCCAAGAGCAAAGAATACACAAGTCCTGAAGAAATCTTAGAATGAAAAGAAAGCAACCAAAAGAATGAAAAAAAGGACAAAAAGTGAAGTTTTAAAACAAGTCTAAAACACTTTCAACTTACTGTCCGTTTTGATTCACAGGATCCAACACAGGCCTCTGTTATTTCYCTGTAGTATAACTGCTGTTCCTAAACAATGGACAACACAAGCTCATGGTCAGAAGCTACACCTTAGAACACTTCAGTTTAATTCTTAAAAGCTTTAGTTTCAATTTGTTCACTTTTTTTGCAGACCACAGGTTTGACTCATTAACCTCTGGACTGTTATGTCAGTCTGTCCAGAACTTGAACAGGAATTATAATATTGCTGTTCTTTACAGCCAGAAAAGAAACACTTTACAAGCATTTAGACTACWTACCACAGACAATTCATGTGTAACAACTCCCTTGAAACTCTCTGCTCCTTCAGTGGTAGTGTCACCTGAAGCTCCAGTTTTTACTGGACGCACACTTGGTTTCACTGGCTTTTTGACTAMAGACTTTGAAGTAACTTCACTAATTGTATTTTTTTTCTGGGGAGCATTTTGAAYTGCCCCAGGTTTGCTAGAATCATTGSTTTGTTTCATGGTTTCCTCTTTTGATAGTTTGACTTGAGCTGAAATACAAAAATATTGTCAGAAATACTGGACATAACAACTCACTATGTTCCTATTACTGTATAAAGATACAAAATGAAATGAGATGTTATTTTTTCTGATATTGAGTTTGTGTACATATCATTGTGTTCAACAAAAGATAACATTACCTGGAGGTGGATTTTCTGGAATTGCTGGCTGTAATCCTTCAATGCTTAACCAATGAGCTAAAAATATATTAAACTGTTAATAAAGCAGGTGGTGCAAAGTCCTTCCATTATTTTTCTTGACAGGGAGATGGAAGCTTTTAAATTAGAGATTGAGGGTTTTATTTGTCACTTTTTTGTGAGTGAGACTTAATTTTTTTGAGGTAAGAAAGGACATTCACTTCAATTAATGTTGAAGGGAAGCTATTAGCAATCAATGTAATGACTGACCCTTTAAGGTAACATCCACTGGTATCCGTGGTAACTGTGATGTCATGATGTCRTTAAGGTCGATTTCAGGATCTTCATAATAATATACCTCTCGGCCCCCGCCACTTGTAAATCTGAATGGGATGAAGTCTGGAGCTCGGAAACCATACAAAGGCTAAAAGAGTGTTAATGAAACTTTTTAGATAGTGTATTTGGAGTAACTCTAACTCTGAATATACTGGATCCTCTATTTATGATGTAAAATAAGTCTGGAAATCATGTTAGTTACAAAAAACATAGTTAATTAACTATGCAAAAAAGGAAGCCAAGGGGTTCTTAAACTTTAAGGTCTAAATAATGAATGATAAAATTACCTCAATGTTCTGTACTCGTAAAGCATTGTCAACATCTTTGGTGCTAAGCTTTCTCCTCTTACAATGCTCCATAAACTTTGCTGATTCCTAAATATTGTCAAGAAAATACCTATAAGTTTACTGTATGTGTGGGCAGATCGTCACCAAACGCGCAATGRTTTAGTACCTGCGTTATTTGTTTTAATCTATAGGTCCCTTCGTCCATCAGTAAAGTAATAGCATCGTGATTAAGATTGTTAATGCCCACAGATTCAGCTATRACTTTGATGCTTTCCGCGGTCAGCTGGCTCTCGACAGTCTCTTCGTCTACGTCTGATGATTCAGCCATTTTGAAGTTAAATGAACCAATCAAGAGCTTTCATCAGCTTTCCCTTGAAGTAATAGACGAAGTGATTGTTTATTTCCGATAAAGAAAACGAGGAAATACCCAAGTTTTTGGCTCATAGAATGGTACTGTCAACAACTCTACCAACCGCCATGTTGAATAGAAGGCTAGGCTACATAGGATTTGAAGGAAAATATGCACAGGCAGCCCAGATATTGATTCTGTCTAAAAAACTTTGTTCTTATTTCTGATTTATCAAAATAACACCAGAAACAAGATAGTAAAGCTAAAACAAGCGCGCTTGCTCTTTGGAAAGTACGTGCTATAGAATATACCTGTACTCTTGATAACAATACGGAACAATGCGTATTTATCACTTCTTGCTTTATTCGCGGTTTTTCGCGTTCCGTCCCCCAAATATTATTACTTTGTGTCGYTGAAAACACACATACACAAAAAAATCGCCATATATGGTGCCTTGTTAAATGAAAAGTGGGAAAAATCCTCTTTTCGACTATTGAATTTAATCGGATACTAGTATCGGACTTAATAGTTTACCATAAAAGGCGCAGGAAAATCGAGGACTGACAAACTGTGTCATTATTTGTTTGCAGAAGTCATGGCCATGTATGRCCATGTTTGACAAACGGAACTACCTTTTCTACTTGAACAAAGTATCTCAGGCAATGAAGTGAAAATCTATCTGCAAAATGGTATCAACATCAACGTTTATCTGATTTAATTTAACTTTTCAAAACATGTCTTCAATTGTTTGGTTCTTTTCTTTATTTTATCAATTTATCTTATTTTTTACTACAAGATTTTCTGATGCAACTTGAAAATGACTTGCCTGGATACAGTGATAAGCCAGTTTTGACACAGGAAGCCCGTCGATACAWCAACATGTTCGGAATGAAGCAATAACACTGCTTCAAAATTCTTCTCATTAGCTCACTWACTTAGTAAACATGACTTAGTATGACTTAGTAAACACAAAATGCAAGCACGTTTAATGCCATAAAAGGCTTGTGTCCCTTTGAAACGTAACTTGTAATGAACGTGACATCAGACCGGAGTTGCTAAGTGGTGCGTGACGTCAARCTGTGATGTATAGATTCAAAATAGAATTCTAGTAATAAATTGATTGCTTGATACAAAAATACAAGCAAATCAGTCATTTTGGATAGTTATATAGTATAATTTGACGATATCGCAGAACTACAGCTTTTCAAAGGCTATGCAATGGATCCATTGTCAGCTTTAGGATATGTGGCAATTTTTATTGTCATTGCTGTTGGACTCTATTACTTGGGTACTCGAAGTGCAAGAAAACTTGAAGAAGCCTTCCCGGGTCTTCCAGGACCCAAACCATGGCCCTTCATCGGTCACATGCCAGATATTCTGAGAGTAAAAGGACAACTGCATCTGTTCTTTGAAGAACAATTCAAGAAACATGGAAGATTATTCTCGATGATTTTTGGCGCGGGTTCGCCTGCTCTGGTTGTCTTAGATCCAGAGATGATCAAGGACATCCTAGTGAAACGCTTTGAATGTTTCCACGACCGAAGTGTAAGAACTTCATTTCGTGTGCACTTTGTCGAGATTTTATCGTGAATCACGGAGAGGAGTCGGAACGGTAGCCTGAGCATGTATTACTGCATGATTCTTATCAATCTTCAGCAGCTTCGATTGGTTTAGTTTAGAGTCTCTCTTGCATTTTAATCACAGTACAGTCAATATGCTGAATTTCGAATGTTTTTATTTTCCTTTTTTATATGTTTCAGAACACTTTCAATCTYCCCAAACCTTTAGACAAAGCATTGACCATAGTACCTGGGGAGGACTGGAAACGAATTCGCTCAGCTTTATCCCCATCATTCAGTGCGCACAAGCTCAAGGGGATGACCTCACTTATAAACTTGGCATGTGACAGGTTAATCAGGAAAGTCGAACAAGCTGCTGAGTCGAAGCAAAGTTTTGATGTCATCAGGTATAACAAATGTCATAAATAATATGACTCGTCCTCGGTCGCCCCTATCTTCTTGTGTCTCAGTAAGCTTCCTTTCGCGCGCGGACGTTCCGCCAAATGGGGTATGGTTTATGGCCGTGTCTTGAATAGGGCATGTAATTGACCTTTCAAAAGTAGCCCTGAGTAGGGGTGTACATATATACAGGGTCTCCATATTTATCTWGTAGACTATAAAGAAAGTCACAGAGAAAAAACAATGACATATTGACATCTTTTAATGGAAACCCATCTGGTTAGTGTCTTGGATAGGGTCAACATTTTCGTAYCGATTTGTCTTGAATTTACTTTGGGACAGGGTTTTCTAGGTACAGAACCTTCTCGTCCGAATTTGGATCAAGTACCCCTATTAATCCCTGTTAATTTTGTGTGTAAATTTTAGMTTCCAACARGCCGTTACCATGGATTCTATAATGTCTGCAGCGTTTGGTATTCAAACCGATTTCCAGGATAATCCAGACGACCCTGTCCTTCAAACGGCCATTCGATCCATGAARCCAAATGCCATTTTGCAGTTTCTTGSAAATGCTTTAATACCTCTGCTTCCATACGGTCAAGATTTCCTTGTCTCAGAGATAGGAAAAAAGATATTTTTCAATGATTTATTGAAAATGGCAGATATCGCCAAAGATGTCGTTGAAGTAAGAAGAAATGGGGAAGTTCGAAAGGTATGTTATTGTTACCTGTCTGCACGATCTCGGCWTTTCTCTTTTGCGAATGGCATGCATGATAATACTTATAACTTCTATCCCAGTTTGTAGCTTCTACCCCAGTGTGCTTGAAAGGGTGTAGTCCCACAGAGATAATGGTTATTTGATATAAAGGCTGTTAAAATTTCATCAACAGGACYTGCTAGATTTGATGCTTAATGCAACCTCCGAGGAAGCTGGAAACAAGAAACTGGTCGACGATGAAGTCATTGCTCAAAGTGTCACCTTTCTAATAGCGGGCTACGAAACGTCCAGTAACACCATTGCCATGACGTGTTATAATCTGGCAACCAACCCTGATGTCCAGGAAAGACTTCAGAAAGAGATTGACAGTGTTTGGACYGATGAGGACACAATGCCATCATATGAAACTGTTCACGAACTYCCTTATTTAGACATGGTTATAGCAGAGACACTTAGACTCTGCCCTCCAGGTAATAACCTCAGTCMATGACTGCTAAATCAAAGGGCTGTTTAGTTGGGGCTAGAGGAGAGGCCTCGATCTTCCTTGGTCTCTACACAGTCCATGTGAATCTCATGTCATTTCAAATTAATGTATTTACYTTTTTCCAGCATTCTTCTTGATGCGCGCATGTACAAAAGAATGTATCATCAAAGGCCTTCGAATTCCTAAAGACTCCGCAATTGTCATACCAGCCTACTCTATACACAAGGATCCCGAATTTTATCCAGATCCTGAAAGGTTCGATCCAGAGCGTTTCAATGCCGTAAACAAGGAATCACGTGATCCGTATGCGTATCTTCCCTTTGGCCAGGGACCCCATAATTGCATCGGGATGAGGTTTGCATTGATGGAGATGAAACTCGTTTTAACTAGATTGCTGAAGAGATTTTCGTTTGTTGTGACGCCCGAGACAAAGCCACCAGTCTTTGAAGCCAAGGTTACATTATGCCCAAAGGGTGATGTAATTCTTGGAGTTCGAAAACGATAGATGTAGGTACACTCTATGATGCCAAGACAGTAGGTCGGAGCTCATACTTTTACATGAATTAACAGCCGTTAATCTGAGTAATCCTAAACTTCAAGGCTRGTTAATTTAATAAATTATAATAATAAATATATTTCGCAAGCTTCAAATCGGATATACTRGTAAATCCATACGCAGACTCCACCCAATCTACACCTTTATCGAACACATGTTCATTTGATTACTCGTTACAATTGTATAATTTCTTWTATTTTATAACTTAATAAGAGCTATTAATAATTAATATCAATTATTTCTCCATAAAGGGTTAAGTTCTTTAATAAAAATCTATTGGTATAAAGAACAACAAATTCGTCTTTGCTGTTTCATTGTGTGCATTTCATGCAAATTTGCAGTCCTAGGAATAATTCTACTATCAAAGTCGACTCTCCCAAGCCAACGCAAACTGCGCGGGTTTAAAGTGATGAAATATAACTGACAAAAAGTTATGTCAAGTTTTCACAAGTTGAAAAGTAGTCTGTCCAAAACGTATTCGAAAGTTTTCCATTTTATCTAAATGAGTTTGTGTTTAGTATCTATTTTCATTAAAATTTTTCGTAAAAAAAGAACAGAACTAGACTYGTCGGCTTGGGCGTACTGCTTCATTGCACCACACGTCCAAGAATCTCACTTTAAATATAATTTTACGTTACACACTAAGAAACATTGATTTGAAAAAAAGCCACGCCCAAGCTGAGTTGTTCTGAATGTATAGTTTACAGTTCAAGAATTGTCTTCGGTTCGCATCGGGTATAATCGGGTATCCCTATTATTTCTCGATTTTCTCCCRATTTCAATTCGATTAACATTCTTTTACAATGTATGCGCAAGAAAACCATTCCCAAACTGCAAAATGTCTTGCACGATGTGTGCAACCAGAGTGGAAGTTAACTTAATAATTTAGAYATTCTTCGCAACAAACGAAGAGTCAGCCGAATCTTCAATGCATTACGATCTAAAACTCGGAGATTATGTACGCCCAAGAGAAGTTTCGACTTTTGGGTTGAAAGCGCGCAGTATTTACGCAGCTATATATTATGACTTGYATGATAGTAAATCAGCCCGGAATCTTTCTTTTGTCGAGATCTCAAAACTGTGTTTGCATGTTTAATAAAGCAGGCTARCCCACTTTCTCGTTCAAGCACAATTCATTTGTGAGCTGAATTTTCCATCATATAAAATGTCCCTAACTAGACTGAAAGCGCGCAGATTCATTTCACGCACATTCTTATGTTTCACGCTCATGAGGGTTCTGTTAATAGKAAGGCGCGCGGTTTGTTAGTAAATCCAGTTGACCGGTACCCATTGGGAACTGTCTGACAACCTATCAAGAGCTTCTTCTAAAAGATGAATTGTTTCATCGATGTCATTATTGATGATTGTAAGATCAAACAAATGACCATAAGACTGCCGCAAAGCCTCGGATTCTTTGCCCAATCGCTTTAAACTTTCGTCCTGTCGTGAGAAATTCATGTATTAATAAAAAAACACCTCTTTATTGACCCACAGGAATCCCAACAAAAGGGTAGGCTTTGAAGCAAACTGGGTCTGTAGCAAACTTAGTTTAAGTTTGTTTTTAATAGCATTGCTGAAGAAAAYTTAAACTTACGGCTTCTGATTTGTTCGCGTCGCCATCCATCTTTTCACTAGCAGAAATGTTTGGGGCGGAAATGAATACAACATACGGAGAAAATTTAGCAGAGCGAAGAACTTTAAGTGCCTGGAACAAATAGATCAAAATTAACACTTCTGCATACTACAAATCASTCAAAGAYAGCCAGAGTAATAMGGATAATGYTTGATGTTCGCAAAACAGCCCGAYAMACAATAACATGAYWTCAGTTCATTCTTTCACTATCGTCAATCCCATGGTGCATCTGTTCGGACACGTGACGTCATCATATGATTGTACTGACCTGCGGTTCGACGTCCAATATGGCGGTAAGACCACGCTGAATGATAGCTGTRATAGTATCTAATTTCGTACCATACATAGCACCATCATGAGTACCATATTCCAGGTATTTATTGCATTCAATGGCAGACACCATGTCTTCGGCTGACACGAAGAAATAATTTTTGCCGTCTTCTTCGCCCATCCTCGGTTCTCTTGTTGTATCTGATGATCAATGGTCTTACATTAAAATGAAAATTATGCTACTCAAGTGGCTTCGTTGTCAGCTATAAATAACTACCAATAAAATTTTGATTTTACTCACGTGGTATCGGATACGCAAATCTGTCGGGAAATTTATTTATCAATGTATTTTTAATGTGTCTTCTACCAACACCGTGAGCACCTGCAGTAAAAAGAAGTTTCTGGTGTAAGTAGCTGCATGYATAAATAAGGGCAAACAACTATTTGTTTTCCAAAGTCAATACATTATTTAAAAATATTCCAAAGTATGAGAATAGTCCTGCTGTCAACATTAACTGAAAAGCAAACATTTTCTTTTTCTTCAGAAGTGGACTTCCACTTGAATGTTTTTCATACAATATGCACCCAGATGTTCTTTTTTCCATGTGATACAATTATGTCATTCCCCTATTTTTTAAACAAAACGAGCTTTATTGTCGCCTTTCCGTGAGTACCCAGCAATCGTTATATCAGAATAGGTGACGAAAGTGATAAGTAGGGCTATTTTGAAGTATTTCCTGTCCTAAGTATCACTTACCAAGTAGGACGAGAGTTTTTCTTTTAAACGAATTCACTTTAACCACTTCTTCATAGGTGACCAAGTCTAATCTGTCAAATACTTCAAAGAACGACAAACATTAACGAATGAAAAGAAATAAATRAATGAATGAATGAGAGGATGGAATGCGTCGTTAGTGGTATTTCTTGGGTTCCCAAGAATCCCTCGATGTTGGATGACTGAACAAGCAAAACTAATCATGAATGTCATCCAACTTGGCGGCGATGAAGTAACGTGACACCAAGGAATAAGAAAACAAATGACTAAATGTCTGAATGGCCGACCCRTCGACCGACCGACTMAGTGACTGACAGCCTGAATGTCCACTACTAACCGGCGTTATGTTTCGCAACGTATCTGTCTCGGTAAGTTTTTTTCTTTCTACTGAACCACACACACGAAGCTGTAAAGAAATGGATACAAAACATAAAAATACTTATCAACAAAAAAACACATCAATATCAAAGAACWGCAAAATATTCAGATAAAAGAAATGGCATTTTAAGAGTACCACCGTTAGTTTTCTTGGCTTTTTCTACAGCAATATTAGCAACTCTCCTGAAAGACAAAATCAAGATGGCTTTGACAAAGTGACAAAGTGACATTAAAAGTGTGCCAAAATGGCCGACCCTTTACAAAGGAAAACCTTGTTAGGGACTGTGCAATAATTACCAGGAGGGGGGGTGAGGGCGTAAAACCAGATTTCTTAAGCAGAAAATTAGTTTGAAACCCCCCTCCGAAGCACAAGAAAATAGCTCCAAAATAGGCTTATGTAACGTTTTTATGGTCAAAAACGACTTTGATATTACTTGTGCTTGTTATGTTTAATAAATCATCAATACGTTTTTCAGCTTCTACATCTTCAATTTATGTGAAAACTACACCCTCAATTTATGTGAAAATTGAAAAAAACAATAGTTTAAAAAAAGTTCATATCTTGGTCAATTTCAATCACACAYCAACGACTTAATTTTATGCACATGTCAGGGACCGCGACATAAATTTTGGACCTGGGGGTCTAACGAACGCCAAAGGCGGGAGTATTAAGGGAGTCTGGTCCTTCCCCAGAAAATTGTGAAATTTTTTTTCCAAATTTGAAAGAAATAACTCTTGGAAATGCGATTTCCAGCTTTTTGAGAGACATCGAAAATTATGAAAATTTTGAATAAAATTTTGAATAAAGGCCCCMCGTCTGTCCAGTCTTACCATTCCTGTAGTTCTGGTGATGGAATCAAGCCKGCAAATTCTGCTCCTTCTCCTGTTTCTTTCTTTGCTTGCCACCAATAGCTGTCAGTCTTGCTGACGACTTTCATTATGTCCGAACAACGGAACGCCATTCCCGCTAACTGACACGGTATCARGTCGTCGCTTCTTGGGTCGTAGTCAAATAACGCTCGAACATAAACCTGACAGGAGAATRAGACAGGGATACCAATGATGATTCTGGTGGATGATTATTCATAAAAGAAAAGATTAAAAGYATGATGGGCTGCCGGTGGACTTACATCTGAGTTTGTACTTGGTCCTCGTGAACTCGGTACGATTTTAAAAGTTACATTACCACTTGCATCTTTCTGCAAAACAAAAGTATGCTACTATATAGTACAATGATTTCACGTCAGTTAAATGGGATTCACAACTTACTATATTGTATGAGAACATTAGTAAGGCACGAYTTTGAACTAATTTACGTCATACTTGTTACGTCGACTKCGAACCCAAGAGGCATGTACTGACGTGTGAATGATTCWACGACAATCGCATACGACTGACAACTTGTTGTATGAGCGTTATGACTTTTGCGTCGTATAAATAGCCTCTTTCTTGTTTTGCAAARCATCATGGRGAAARTCCACGATGAGCAAGTCACTTACCAACATTGATTGTAGAGTGTCTATCGACTTGGCTGCTACATTAGTACCATTTATCTCTCTTATCTCATCTCCAGGATGAAGAGTGCCTAGACAGTAAACACACATTAGAATTCAAACTGCTTAAACAACCTTATCAAGATTTGTGATAGGAAATTCAGAAACAAAAATTAACGTTTCCAACACTACCTTGTCTGTGTATCATACCGCCATGCATAATACGAGCAACGATACATCGATTTTCTTCGTTTAGTTTCAGAGTAATTCCCTAAAAGAAACATTTTCTATTAATGTTGCTTTACATTTATCTAAAAATCTGTTTGAGWCTACCGGTGTGATGGTAAGGATTTTTCCTTCAGGGCAATGGAAAAAACAATACGGAACGCACGGAACACGTAAACAAATTCAGTCAACGTCGCGGAGCTTGGTACGCGCTGTAATCGTGTCACGTACCAACAACGCAAAAAGTTGATATTGCATTGCGTAAACGCAAGAAAAAATTGCTCCGCGTATATGCTGAGCGTACGGAAGCCTTGGGGGCCTTGTCTAAATTGTTTCCGTTGAGTTTCCGAGATGTCGTGACAACAGAGCGCAAATAATACAGACAGAAGAATAGAGTTTTTTTCACGAATGAACGAAGAACCCGCACAAATACCATTTTATACGAGAAAATTGTTCGCCTATGATTATTGATGATACAASAAGCAAAATCCATAACATACCATTGGTTCGTTCGGATTCTTATGGAATTGCACCAGTCGTACACGGGTTAATTTCTCGGGCCGTTCGACGGTTATAGTAGGGTCGTAAGCATCGGGCGGTCCGTCCGTTTGTACGACAGCCGTTTCTTGGCCTGTTGACTTCTGTAGAACGCCATCGTGTGCTTCAAGCATCGACTGAAATCAAAAATGA